TTTCCAAATTCTGTATTGAAGGCTGCACAGTCTTGGGAGAGTTTATGCGAGCAGATTCTAAGACACAAAATGACTTTGCTTTGGGATTGAACGGCTCAACCTGAAAACAGAACAAAAATAAAACATTAAACATAAAATCTTGATCTGTTTCTATACATTCTGTTAAAATTTGAGGTTATTTCAACAAGAATTGAAATTATTGGCTTGCGAAATGACATCAAATTTTTTGGGACACCTTGTAAATATCCAAAAAGTTTATTCAGAAATCTTCAATATCATCTTTTCTATTGGTGGCAAAACCCATTAACTATATTACAACAAAAAACTAAATTTTTACTGCATTTACTTTAGCTGCCCCCGTCTGTATTCAATATTATTGACCTATAGAATGCTGTGATGTCATCTGAAACCCAGCAATGTAACATAAATTTGACATATAATATTTATTTTGTTTTTGTGAAAATAAAGACCATTTTTAATCTGATATTGGTTGATGTCAGGTATTGGCAGATGCTTAAGCCCATGATGCCATAATCAGTATCCAAATTGAAAAAGCAGGATACCTAAAAATGTCAACAAAATTTTGAATCTGTAAAAATCAGGTACATCACCTTTAATATTGATACAGAGAGTTTTTCTGTTGTAATATTTCCAATAAAATGTTTCAACCACTGTCATAGGATGCAATTACACTATGAAATATAAAAGAAACATTTATTTACAAAAAATAAAGTGTGAGTGCAGAGGTGCGAGGCAGGCGTAGCACTAGTGTGTCATCTATCACACTTTATAATGAATGCAGGGTGAAATATGAAGCATGAACCAGAGTAATCAGCATGAAGACAGATACGTGTGTACTGCTCCTCCTCAGTACAGACATCCCCTTCATCCTGTTGATTTCCTGGAGATGCTAATATGGCAGTGTGTTAACAGAACTAGGCCGTAATGAACAATGAGAAGTCGTGTGCCGTGGTTTACGTATTCAAATCAACTTGTAACTCTAGAATTATGATCAGAGACAGCAGTTTGTTGATATTTTTTACAAGTGTTTTTCTAAAAGTGGGGTCCTGTGGTCATCAAAACAAAATTACTGTAGAAATAAACATTAAGCATTATGCAAAATCATTTTTTTTGGAACTTTCTACCCTCTACCCTCATCAAAAACTGAAGATGTTTTAGATGTCATCCATAAATGTTTGAGTAATTTAACGATCTCTCCCGGACCCTATTTGAAACTTCCTTATGGTTAGCCGTCTAATGCTACGTCACCCATGCTCCCACACGACAATTCTGCATAAATATACAAAAACATGGTATAAAACTGTACACTACAGCTTCACAAACCTGATGCAATGTGCAGTAGATCGGTGTTTCCCAAACTTTTATTTCTGGGGACCCATATATTAAAAGTCACAAACCTTCAGACATTATTCGTGAGATCACAAAAAAAAGGTGGATTTGAGCATTACTGAACATTAATGAGGATATTTTATTGTTGACTGAGTGATTGTGTCTCTCTGAACAATTAGTATTACTCAAGTTTTAAACAATGAAAAACAGTCGGTGAACCAGTAATAAAAGGATCCAGAAGTTGCTTATTTGGACATTAAGGTCCTGTTTACACGAGAACGCTTGTGAGTAAAAACGACAAAATATTTTATTGGAAGTGCCTTTTGTTTAGACGGTGATGGCGTTTTTCGGTCTTAAAACGCAAAAAGCTGAAACCACCCTCCAGAGTGGAAAAGTTGAATACCACACTCCACCGTAGCGTTTCCGTCTACACTGCCCAAGACGTAAAACTCTGATCAGATCTGTTCACGTCGGGTACTTGTTTACATCACATACATCACCACCTAGCCGCCTGGCATGCGCACCCAATCAGATTCCACACACTTTTGCGTCATCGTATGCACACAGATTTCCTCCTGAAAGCGTGCGAAAAAGTGAAGGTGCGACGCCACTTTTGCGTCTTCTGTTTAGACCGTCATCATATAAACGTAACCTAAATGTAGCCCTTTTCAACATTCAGTTGAACCAGCAATACTGGAACAAAATAGTCAATCAAATAATTACAAAAAGATTAGAATTTATACAAAACATGTCTTAACATTTCAACATTTCTACGTTTTTGTAGCACATTCCAGTCTGGGGTGCAGGAGGAGAGAGCAACACGCACATCAGGCGCAGCATTCAGTCTGTTTCTGTGCTTAGTCTTCATTTTTGTGAGCACAGAAAAGACCTACATACAGATCGTGACAAGGCGACCCAAAAAAATCTCTTGCGACTCATCTGAGCGTCACGACTCAGTCTTTGGGAAACAATGCAGTAGATAATGCTCTGAAGGAGGTGACTTGGCTCAGATACTAGATACTCAATACCGATTCCAGTACTACAAAACACTCTTTCTTTAGACAACAGAATGTGAATTTCAACATTAAATCATAGTATGTTCTCTTATATTGCCATGTGGTCGACGTAGGTTCCATAGTGGTCCATGTGTGTATACTAGTCTATGTGCTCTTATATTTGTTCTGACACTGCTCAAGATCATTCTAAAGCTCTTCAAGAAAAATTAATTTCTGTCCTGTGAATGTGACTTTTAGTATCGATACTTACGCAAATCTACTAGTAGTTTCAATACTAGTTTTAGCATCGATTTGTATCAGATTTTCTATTTTGATCTGATTTTTCGACTTTTACAACCCTAATCTGTGCCATGTTATGAAAAAAATCCATTCTTGGCACTTTTCAACCTATTTTTTCAAGTGTAGCGAACCCCAAGATGGATATGGGCAGACTTTAGATCACTCTACTCAACCAGATGGCGATTGTTTATTTAATAACGCGATTTAAATGCTCGAGTGTGGGCTGTAGATGCTCCTCTGACATTCGTTAAAAGCCATACGCTCTCGGTGAAATGTGAGTTGAATATGTATGTGTTTATGGCCCTTATAGTTTATGCTTCCCACACTGCGTTACAGCTCTGGTTCATTTTTACACTGTGTTTTACTGTAGGGCACTTGTCTTAACATTTCATTTATAAGTCTTTATTACCAGGGATCGCACACCATGGCGGCAATTTATGTCACAACCTGTACCTGCACTTAAGAGTTATAGATTTAATGAGGAGGTGAATAATATGAGGCAGATAAATGGTTTTATATTTTCCTAAACAGAGCTAGAGCTTTCTACTATGTTAAAAGGTTGTCAAAAGTGTTGGAAATCAGATACTATTATCAAAACAACAAATTTGAGCAGATATTGATGCAAAAAAAGTCATGTTTGCAGGACAAAAATGAACAGCTTTAGAATGATCTTGAGCTCCCTTATGTCCATTTATATACAGTGTAGTATAAGTCCACGGACCACTGCAGAACTTTCCTGGATGACTGAGGAATTACACAGATATAAGGCCACGTGGTTGCTTCATTTTGTGCAGAGATTGAATAGTAAAGTACACAAGTATACAAACTTTTCTGGTGGAGGATCTGCCATGTGTTGTCGTGATATTATTGCTTTGCCTGGGATGTTCCACGAGTGTGAGTCATCAGCCGGTTTCACTTTGTGGAAACCGTCTGACCTCGCAGCATTAGGATTCGGTCGCTCGACTCTTGGCGGGTACTTTTTTATTTAACCAATCGCTGCTATTTGGTCGTGACGTATGTAACGCGCCAAATCCCGTAGGAAGAAGGGCAATAACGTCTTTCGTTTTGATAAAATTCACCAAGCATTCTCTTTGTTCCAGCTTTAAATCCTCGATCTCGGTAATCGTTGCCAAAACAGAATGTCTGTCTTCGTCTACATCCACCTCGACCGCTTTGTTTACTGTTGTGCTGTTCCACAAAAGGGACACAGACAGGTGCTTGAGTTTGCCATCATGGCCTCACAGCTCTTCGCTGATTGGCCGGTGCGTGGTCTACAACGTCCAGGGTTCTTGCAAAACGTCTAGTGTATTCCGATGCCTGACCTAGTCGCTGGAAAGAAATTAAATTGAGTGGAGGCACCTGATGGCACCAGCCTGGCTAATGTTCCACAGTATGGCATTTAACAATAGATATCTTTCATTTATTCGATAAGAAGTGTTTTTTTTTTTTCTCAAAACCACCACAAAAACATGCATCATCATTGAGTGCAGGCCCACTTCTTTACAACTTAGCCTAGTGATGTGGCCTGCTTGTCTCCATGGAGATAGTTAAATGCCATACTGTAAATCAGGGGCCTCCAACCTTATTTCCTCCAGTGAGCTGCCATTACAAAACAAAAATGCCAAAGAGCTACTCATTTTAGCATTCACAAGAAATTTTGTAATTATAAGAGCCACGGCCTATAAAACAAACACCATTACCCATATATTAGTGCAGAATGTAAATTTAGGCATGAAAATTATACATTTACCATTTTAATATTTGTTCTATTTGTCAAATTTTTGTTAATTATAATTCAGTAATTCTTGGTGGAGAGCTACTGGTGGCTAGATCATTTCAGGAAAAAAACAAACAAAAAAACCCCCAAAAAACATAGAGTCGAAGAGGTGGATCCTCGAGGTAAATACTGTAGGGAACCACTGAGCAGTCATATTGGTACCGTCAGTAAATCTTGGGTAGTGATATGACACGGGCAAGAGTTGATTTTTGTCACTGCCGGAGTTTTTCTGCGTGAGATTTATGAATTCGAGTGTGTGATCAGTTCCTGGGTCTGTGACATTTCTGGAGCAGGGCCCAGACTGAAAGTGAGCCATAGATTCTGGTTATTGCAGTGCTGCACCTGGGAAAGCATTAACATTTAAAGGGCCGGACGCAATCTGGACCGCTCTGTAGTCTATGGACGTGTTTACACATGTCCTGGTTTAAGCCCAGTTTTCTTCTCATGTAGACTTGGTTTGGTTCTATTCTAGTCCTGGTCTAGTCCTGGTTCAATGTTTTGTTCCAGTTTTGATGTGGTGGGTGTAGGCTTTTGAACTGTGAAAGTGATGGATGTCCCGGTGTGTGTTTGATCCACAGACAAAGCTCTGAAGACCTGGAGAAGAAGCTGAAGGAGGTGTTCAGTGAAAGGACCAGCCTCCTGCACCAGCTCTCCAAGACCTCCAAAGAACTGGACAGCCTCAAGGGGAACCTGCAGGTCTGTGCCCACCACCAACCACACACACAAAGCAAATTAAAAGAGACTACAAACGTCAAGTGTGATCAATAGTTTGGCCGATAGAGTTCAGGATGGAACGTCGAAAAATGGCTATTAACATGAAAATAACTCTCAGAGGGATATATTAGCTGAAACAATGTTAAAAGTGAACTAAAGCGTGGTGGAACAAGCCATGCGGAGTCATTACTGGTAAATACATCTATTACTTTATAGTGTCAGAAAACATTTAAATGAACACTAACTTTATTTAGTATTTAGCATCAAATTTGTCCTCTACATTGGGTCCATTCTTCAGTGCAGCTGGGACTAACTTACAGTATCTGTGACTTGGAGGCCATAGTACGTCTATGTCATTTGTGTTTATGTACATTTATGTTTATGCCAGATGTAATTTTGTATGTCTTAATTAGTTAGTTCTTGGATTGCTGAGATTCCTTCTGGAAACAAACTTAAAGGTTGTATGGAGGATTTTTTTTTGTTTCAAATTGTCAATGATAGCATTATAGAGATGCAGTAGCCTTGTAATTATGATGACCAAAAAAAAGAGAATAAAAATTCATCAACTCTGGACGTGGTGGGGCTAAACATTTGCCAATAGATAACGACACTGCCTCGTTATCTGTTAGCTGACAGGCTGTCAATCAATCTCCCTACGTTTCTAGCGTAACTGACTTGCCTGCGCGCCGCCGGTACGTGGTTTACGTACGACTGTCACGCAGTCCACAGACGCAAGACGCACAGACGCTGTTTACTCCAACGCAACAGTTCTTAGCGGCTTAAAGAAAGTCAGTTTTTGAGATTGCTGAAAGAAGAAGACAAGGGGAAAAGCGGCGAAGCCAAACTAAGGTGATTCTTGAAGATTCATTCCAGCGATGGCGCAACTGAAGCAGACGCAGGGTCTAAAGACTGACGCACTGGTCGCCAAATTACTCCTGGACAGGTCACTTCTGCTTATTATGAAAACGTACTTTATTTCCAAGAGCTAGACAAACGTTTTTCAGGACACGAAAGCGATATCCTATTTCTGAAAATGTAATTTTCAAGGCAAAGAAAGAGTCCGCTTGCTGCTGCGTGTTGTAGCTAGTTCATTCGCACTGAATCTCCGCGCAACCTTCTCTGCACCCTTTCCTGCTCCTCTCCCCGCTGCCCGATCCGCTCTTCCCCCTGCTCCTCACTTCTCCGTCTTGCCTCACCAACACTGTAGTTAGTTGTTTACAAGTCATGTGCAGTGCACCGGCTGTAAACAAACCTGTTTCTGGCGTAGTGAGGAGGCGGGAGGAGGCGTTTCTACGTAGGGAGCTGTAGGGGAGGGGGGGTGGTTTCACACATGCGCAACATTTGAAAAAGGACAAACAGTCGCTGGATTTCTCGTTCCTTGGAAAATCCTCTATACAACCTTTAACCTTGATTCTTGAACCTTACCTATGATGCATTGTCTGTATCACAGGTGGGACCGAGTTGTTGTTTTGCAAATCTCAAGTAAATCTCAAGTCTTTGACCTCAAGTCCCAAGTCAAATACAGGCAATTCCAAGTCAAGTCTTGAGTCACTGGCCCATAAGTCCAAGTCAAGTCCAACTTGTCTGCTTTGAGCCTCAAGTCATTTCAGGTCTTTAAACAAAAGCTTAGAGTTTTGCAGTTTATATGAATTTTAAGCTAAATTGTACTTTATTGTATTTTATTTTAAGTATTTATATAAGACTATTTATATAAATGTCTCGTCAAGATCTTAGTGTGAATCATTAAGGTCAGAATAGAAAGAATTCAGATTTAAAAGTGCTAAATAACAGTTATTTTGTCATGAAAGATGTCATGTTCTTTGTAGTTCCCTCTGTTTTACTGTATTGTACTGTATATTACTGTAGTACATTTGAGGATACCACATTGTAGTACTTCAGTTTCATCCAAAGTAACAGACAGAGAAGTGGGAGGGACATGTTAAAATTTGTTCCTGTAAAATTCATCACCGCATTTATCAACTGTAAAGAGAAAAGTATTTTCTAAAAACATATTGGCATCAAGTCTTCTCAAGTCACAGGCTTCAAGTTCGAGTCACTGATCTTTAAGTCAGAGTCGAGTCCCAAGTCTTAGTCCATTTTATCAAGTCAAGTCTCAAGTCCTAAAAACTGTGACTCAAGTCTCACTCAAGTCCAAGTCACGACTCACAAGTCCCCACCACTGGTCTGGGTTGATGTGAGAAACTGGAGGGAAACCCGCCCAGACACGAGGAGAACACAGAAATCCACAGGCACATTGGTGTTGGTGGTGGAATCTTGCTGTGACCAAAAGAAACAGAAAACACACACCAACATTCTTGTAGAGGTGCAAATGCAAGGAGCAGCCAGACAAAAGTGAAAAAATGCATAGCACACTCAAACCTTCATCAGATATGTTTTATTGCTTTGGACCACAAGCAAGAAAAAATATCTGATGAAGGCTTTTTTTGTTGTGCCAAAATGTTATTTTGAAAATAAATCAGCTTTTGGACATTGGCCATCTGAGTGTGCTATGCATTTTTTCACTTTTGTCGGGAATCTTGCTGTGAAGCATGAGTGCCAGTCTCTCAGCCGCCTTTGAAAATGATATGTTTTGTGACATCACAGTCGTGAGGTTGTAGGTTGTGTTTACGTGCCATCACAACATTGTACATTCTCATTAAGTTTCAAACTGAGCTGAAGGACAGGTCACATTTCTCTGGTAGAAAATGTCATTTAGCTGTCAGATTTGTGAAGCGAATGTAAATAACCTGTCGTGAGTTCTGAGTTTTCATTTTGCATGACTCCATGTTGATCCATTGGAGTCCACACACCTTTTGATGTAGAACAGAAAGTGTATATTTTCTGACCAAAATCAGTTGATGATGAATTATAAGCAGGGTACCAAGCTGGAGAACTGATGGGTATGATGCCACACATTCATTTGGCCAAAAACTATATTGTGTTATTATCAGAGCGTGCCAACTGGCTGCTAAAACTCCATCAAGAGTCCATCCTCTTCCCAAACATCAACGGGAGCCATGCCAGATGGACAATGTAGAACTCAGAATACAAAATGCTACACATATCAGTCTGCCATTAGGGTTTATGGTTAATTGATGGGCCTTCCTTTCTTCCCTTCTTTTTTTTTTTTTTTAATAATAGCCTCTGAAAGTGAGGCCATTATTCAACCCCATAGATCTGATTGATGTCAGTTAAAATAAATTCATACAATAAGACTTGTAGAACCAATCTCTAACCAACTAGTACAACATACTGCGATGCAAACTATTAGTGGGGTGGGGATATCGGTAATCACAGAACCCTGTTTCCTCTGGTGGAAGGTAACAAAGTACAAAAGTAAAAGTACAATACTTAAGAACATATTTTAGGTATCTGTACTTTTACTTAAGTCAGTTTTACAGTGGATACTTTTTACTTTTACTTGACTGCATTTGAGTACGTGTATCTGTACTTTCTACTCCACTACATTTTAGATCTGGACTGAAAATAAAAAGTAATTTTCTTTATGGTGTTTTTTTTTTTTTTTTGTTTTTTTATAGTGTGAGACCTGCTGAAAAGGCTGAGATGTAATTTTAGCACATTCATGTTGCGTTAACGTCCCAATTTTGAGCTAATTAAATACAGAAATACTCAAAAATGTCTGGAAATATTAAGAAATCACTTAAAATTAGCCAAATTATTTGTCAAAATCACATTTCATCTTTAAATTATTTAAAAAATCTATGCAAAAATACTTTTACATTTTACCCTTAAAGTACATTTTTAAACAGGTACTTCAGTACTTTTTCTTGAGTAGCTTATCTTATGTGATACGTTTAGTAAGTAATAAGTAATTTTTGCCTCTGTATCTGTACTTTTAACATAACAACACTGAGTACTTCATCTACCACTGCCTGTTTCTCCAAATACCATGGTTTGTAATCTTCTAGTTGTTTTTTGATTGAAAAGCAAATTCACTGCGAGATACAGTCTCTGTACACTCAGCATTTCTGTCCTGTGGTCACGCAGCTGCACACAGGAAGGAGAGAGTGGTGTCAAAACAGGAGGAGAATGTGCCATAATCCTACCTGTGTACTGCATTTGTCCTTCATAAAGTACTTTGTTGTTGCAACTCTTGAGCAGCAGAAAATCTCACTGTTGAGCTTGCTAAGCCGCCCACCCCTGAGTGTTAGGATGAAGCGCCTGTCACTCAAGTGTATGACTCAAATAATAGGCAAACTGCGGTGAAACGACGAAAATACTGCTTAAAATCCTACTGCAAATGTTCATATACTGTAATTCACACCTAGTTTAAGAATAACTTCCCAATCCTTATGCCCATAATACAAATCTACCAGCATCTCCCAACCTCCAGAGATGTTTGCGAGCACAAAAAAGTTCTTGTGTATCTGAATTACAGAAGTACTTAGAGGCAAGAGAAAAAAAAAAAAGAGGCAGGTCATTTGGGCTCTATTTTCTAAGTGTGTGTTTTTTGTTTTTTTTCACCAACTCAAAAAAAAAAAAAAAAATTCTACAAAAAAAAAAAAAAAATTCTACAATTTTTTTTTCTAAAAACATTTTTTAAAAATTTTTTTTTAAAAATGTATTTATTTATTTTTTTTCGCTGTTGATGTGGCTGACGAAAAAAATCCCCACTCTCGCTCTCACAGAATGACAGCGGATCAGTGATGCATTGATCTAACTTCTCATATTACTCATAAAAGAGAACATAAAACATAAAACTCATGAAAAGACTGTATTCAACTAGAATAAAAACACACAACCCCGACCTCCCACGTCCCAACCCAGAACCTACTGCCATAAGCCAGAAAGCCAGAAAGCTGAAGTGTGGTACTTATACGAATACACCAGGAAAACACTTAGGCTCTCAGCCACATCAACAGTGAAAAAAAAAAAACACGAGAGAAAAAAAATAAAATAAAAAATTGTAGAAAACAATTTTTTTAAAGAAAAAAAAAAAAAAAATGTGTAGAATTTTTATTTTTTTTTCTCAAAAAAAAAAAAAAAAAAACACTTAGAAAATAGAGCCCAAATGACCTGCCTCTTTTTTTTTTTTTTTTTCTCTTGCCTCTCAGGGCTTCCGTACTGAATGACAATAACTGTCTAAGTAACATGTACTTTTTATGACTATTATTGTTAAGAAAACATGTATTAAGCTGTTGACGTTCCACGCAGTAGATACTGTCTTGACATATTCAATATATTTTGGTCATTAACAGAATGTCCCGCTGTTTTTTTTTTTTTATTTTTTTATTACAGTCTCTGAAAAACGATGACTCTGTGGCCAAGAAGGACGTGCAGAGGATCCTGGAGCTGAGCCACAAGCAGAGGTAAGAGCAGAGCCTCCAGAGAAGCACAGAGGCTGCAGATATATTCTCCTTCTATAATATTCAGTTCACTATCTCACAGTTGTAAAATTGCTCATTAATATGTAAATATGTTATAGAGGCTACTACAGACCCTTTGTTAACGTGTTCTAAAGGCCGGTACCATTTGTTTTGGTGATGGATAACCACACAACTTGACCACACAAGAGTAACACCAGAGCCTGTTTAGAAACCATAACCATAAATGTAACATTAGAATGCATCAAAAATGTATCAGGCTATACTATATAAAGTTTTTGTTTTATTTCATCTCATGCAACAAATCCTGGAAACATTAGTGCACTCAAACTCCAGCTGGAAGTTCATCTTGACTAGTATTACTGCCAAATATAACATACGTAAGCAACAGTCATTTGTCAAAACTGTGCTTTCAAAACACATCAACATTACTATTTTATTTTCTGCCCTATTCAAATTAATGGGATGTTCATATGAGTACATGGCAGACAGTGGTGTGGTAAACTCATGGGGATTTCTGATTGTAGCTCATAGCTGAGGTCTGCACGGGACAGAATTTTGAGTCCCGCTCCCGCACCGTAGAGTCTCTCAATTCTCAAAGAATTGTAATTTTCAGTCCCACTCCCACCCGCATCTGCAATATTTTGTCCCGCGCCCGCCCGCAAGTCCTGCAGGACAGGAACCTTTGCTCTCTTAAACTCTATCAAACACGGAGAAGAGAAAGAAATTGGGCTGCGTATGAGAGGAGGCACGGTGGGCGGTCCGGCGGCATGGTTAAGTCCTGGCTAAATCCTGTTTTAGTCCTGGTTTACTTCTGGTTGAGTTCTGGTTTTGTTGCGCAGGCAGCACGACGTACAGAAGGAGGGACTGTTCGCGCGGCGTACGGGATGGGGGGGACTGTTCGTGCGGCGTACTTGGAAGGAATGACTGTCTGTGCGGCGTACGGGGCGGGGGGACTGTTTGCACACTGTACGGAAGGAAGGACTGTCTGCGCGGCGTACTCGGGGGGACTGTCTGCGTAGTGTACGGAAGGACTGTCCGCGTGGCGTAAGGGACGCGGGGGGACTGTTCACGCACCGTACAGGACGGGGGTGACTGTTCACGCAGCGTACAGGGAGGGGGACGATCTGCTGCTTAAAATGTTTTTATTAATACGAAATAAAATCTCCAGCACAAATTATGCATGATATGTTTACATTCATCTTTTTTATATTTTACTTTATACTCATATTTAGTTTGCAGAACTGCAGTTTATCATCCCTCCCGCCCGCTCCCGCGTTGTTTAGCCCCACTCCCGCCCGCAGCGAGCTTTTAAAATGTGTCCCACGTCGCAGTGGTTTGCACCGGGTGGAGGGCTCTAGCTCATAGTTCACTCGTGCTCGTATACATTCATGTGTGGACTGGTCATTCAGCATGTTTATAAGTTTACTTCCTGCTTGTTCAAGGGCATCTACGACAGAGTATAAGGGTCAAAAAAGAAATTATGCATGTGCTACGAGAATTAAGTTGTAACACTTCGACATTAAAGCCGTAATTTTACAAGAGCTGTAGTGGACGTAATTTCATCAAGATTTATGGGCACACATCAATGAAGAAAACGCTGAAGAGCATTTTGCCACCACGGCCACAGTGTATAAGAATGGCGTTTATTTGAGTTAAAAGCTTACGTAAAGATTTATGTATGGTGGATGTAGAACTTTCTATTGCTGGTCTAACAAATGCTGAATCATTTCCCAGGAGTGACCCGTGTGTGCCTCTGTGTGTAGCTGAGCGCTCCTGGGCAGGACATTGTTCGCTCTCCCGTCCACAGCCAAATACATGTGGAGACTCAGTGTGATTTTTACCACTGATCCATTCCCCAGGCCTTGAGCTTTCTACTCTTGTTTGTTTATGGGCTTGAGGAGGTGGCAGCTCACATTTACGCAGTTTACCTGGAACATCCACAGTTACGGAGTGGACACAGTGCAGAGCTTGTACTGGGGAATAGTGAGGACAGTATCCTCTGGTCAAATCCACAGAAAGAATGTGTGATCAAAGAGTGAAGACAGTTTCAGCTCTGTGTAATTTCACTAAACTCTATTGCCCTTCTGTGTTTTGCCCCTAAATCTTGATAAAATGACATCTTTACTTTGACTACTTCATTTTCATAAAACTGTGACTTTATTCTCGTAAAATTACAACTTTTTCTGGCTTTGACTTTACTCTCATAAAAAGTAATGTTGAAATGTTACGACTTTATTCTTGTAAAGCCTGTATATTTTATTATTATTACTTTTAACATGACCTTTAAACTCTCTAAGTGCCATATGTGAAGTTAATTCCATAATCCCCAATTTACACCAAAGCAGTAAGGGCACGTAAGCATATGTGTAGGAATAATTTAAACTTTTAATATCAATCAGCCAGACAGTCTACACCAATGTCACACGTAAATAGGATACACGTGTGGAGTTCTCATTTGTCAAGGTCAATAGAGTGTCTCCAGGCTTTTTAGTTATGGGAAACTAAAAAGCCTGGAGTTATGGGAAAAAGGTACGCGGTATCATAATAAACTTCCAATGCCCTTTCAAAATAAGGAGTCTAAAAACACTTCTGTCATGTAAACAACATACATCTTTTATTTTCTTTATACATGCTCCCCCTGGGTTCAATCCTAGAAAAACATCAGATTAAGTACCACCTTTATGCTGACGACACCCAGCTCTATCTTCCTGTTTCCCCCAAAAAATGTCTCATCCTTTGCTACCCTCCATACCTGCTTTGCGGAAATAAAAAACTGGATATCCTTTAACTTTCTCCAGCTAAATGAAAATAAGACTGAAGTTATTCTATCTGGACCTTACACTGACACCCTCACATCTGACCTTGGACCTCTTGCCACAAATTTGCACAGTTCAGCAAAGAACCTTGGTGTTTTTATGGACTCTCTTTTAAACTTTGACAAACAGATCTCAAATGTTGTTAAAACTAGCTTTTTTCAACTCAGACAAATTGCCAAATTAAAACCAATCCTAACATGCAATAACTTTGAAACAATCATACACGCTTTTGTAACAAATAGACTGGACTACTGTAATGCACTATATGCAGGCCTCCCACAATCCTTCCTCAACAAGTTACAGTTAATCCAAAATGCTGCTGTCAGACGCTCACCGGTTCCAAAAAGAGAGACCATATTACACCCATCCAACTCCACTATCTGTTAAATACAGAATTGATTTTAAAATTGTATTATTTGTTTTTAAATCACTTAACTCAGTTGTGCCACAATACATCACTGATCTTTTAACCCCCCACACAGCCTCTCGGTCTCTCAGGTCAAACTCGCTCAACCTCCTGTCCGTCCCACCATCCCGCCTCAAAACCAGGGGAGGTCGAGCCTTCACTGTTGTTGTCCCCAAGCTTTGGAATTCCCTCCCTCTTCCCCTGAGACCTTGCTCCTCCCTATCTCACTTTAAAACCCTCCTAAAAACAATTTTTTTTAAGATGGCATTTAACAGCCCATGAGCTCTATTTTAAACTATTATTTTTATGCATCAAGTACCTCGTTTATGTAATATTTTATATATTTTATATTTGTGTTTTCACTATGTTGTGTTTCATCCTGTAAAGCACTTTGGTGCAACTTGTTATGGTTGTTTTAAATGTGCTATATAAATAAAATGACTTGACTTGACTTGACTACATTGCATCCAGGACCTCGGGCGATGACTCTTAATGGACTACAGAAAGTTGTAGTTGTGGGAGATAAATCTAATACATGGCATCAAACATACATTTTTCAAGAACAAATTAACTAAGGAAAAGGAACATAGTGCAGAGAAACAGAAACTTAGTAAGTAGCCGTACTAAGTTAAGTAGCTTACTTAAATTAGTAGCCCAATTAATACAAGCACCACAGTCATGGTTTGTTATTGCACCGTAAAGCCTATGCAAGCAGCGTCCTACTTGTTAACTTCTGTATAGTTTTAAAACGTAACTCAATGCAAAACAGTTTGGTGTTTACGTGTTACAATATTAATACTTTGCCGCTGAGGTCATCAACATTCTCTGGGGGTGTGGGGCTAACTGAAGCGCTGCTCACCTCCTCTTGCCCGCACTGCTCCACACTGCTGTCCATAAACCCAGAGCGTATTTCACAGCAGGACTCATATCTGCCTCACTATTCAAGAGATATGACATGCAGCTAAAGGGATCTTCAGCGAGACATGCAAATAAACAACACAGCGTGATGTCAGAACCGGCTCGTTCCGGGCTAGTATGAGACTGTGAGTGCACCTTAAATAAGTTTGAACCTTGTTTGGTTTTCGCACTTCCTCCTCAGGTCCAGCTCTTCATTCATGTGAGTGTGCGTCCCAGTGTCTGACATGTTATTCTTGTAATATATAGGACGGTTGGTTGGCTCATGACCCCCCTTGTTGCCATTACAAAGGCTTTCTCCTCTCTTCCATTATGGTCTGGTCCATTAAGGAAACATCCAAATGTCTACAACAGAAGTCTTCATCTGGTCCATCAACCATCATTTCTGACTAAAAGCTGTCTCCTGTTTTTGTAACACTACACATCTTTTTGGCCGCATTGATGGTCCATTCGCCTCCTTGATATTTCTGCAATATATTACTCTGTTTTTTCTAGAATTTCCCAATAGAACTGAACACCAATGTTCCCTCTAATGTCACTTTTTTCCCAGGGGGGTATGTCAGATGTTGCTCACAGGGATCCAAGGAATGCTTAAGGAGTTAATGTGTTTGCTCAGATATGAAAAATTAGGGGGACACTACCAAACACTTGGCTTTGACTCCCCAGGTTCAGAAGTTGAGCATTTTACAGGTTTCTTATCTGTGGCCTCTTAGGTCTGTGTTGTATAAGGTTTGCCTTTTCCTTCTGTTTGTAGCTCACTAGATTCAGATCTCTGCGCTGACAGTGAGTGTGTTGTATTCTTCTTATCCGTTGACTATCACCGGCTCAGGCTCAAGGTTCTGGGG